CTCTCTCTTTACTGTCATCACCTCATTTTAGAAGGTACCTCATTAAATTGCTCTTAGCCAATTCACTTTCTAAAAAGATCCCATTTCACATACAATAAAGAAATTTCTTTAGCTCTACTCTATTAACTTGTGCTTGATAGCATATGGGCATTCTTTAAGTTTCACTGTCAGCACAACAGCACAAATTTAACAGTTTTGTGATCCATTTTTTCTAAATAGCAGAAGAGAAAGTGTTATGTCAAAGGCAATGTGAGTTTAATTTTCTGTATCATTTAAAATTACTTGAGTGTATCCCCAAAGAAAACTAATATATTGATCAGATATAATTAGCTTCAATGTAAATAAAACCTTAGCATGAGTTGTTTGCATATACTAGCAAAAGAGATATAAGTGAAAAAATCTATGAAAGTTCATAATGCTTTTCTAGCACGCAAGAAATCTATGGGCTAATAATAACAAGAGACAAAATTTGATGTGTGGCAGAAGAAATATATTTTAGTGAAAAAAGTTTGAAATTTAATTGTGGCTTTAAAATACTCTTCTATATTAGATTATGTACATACACATATTTAATTTTATTGTAGATAGTAAAAGAGAAAATATTGCATCCTGTTCACTCTCCAGAACTCTGCCAATGTCACAGACAGGTGGATGGACAGCACTCTGACTAACCCTGTGCAGGCAAGCAAGGAGCTTCCTGTCCCAGCCACATCAGAGGAAGATACAAGACAAGCACCAGTTCACCTGCCATGGTATGAGGGAGGATCTAGGGACCAATGCTCAGAGACACATTCTTTTTAACAAATGCAACCCTCACTTCCTCAGCCACTGGAAGTGGAGCATGGGTCTACTGGGGGAGTGGCCAATCTGACCTATGGTCTCTCACCCACCTACCAGAACCACTCACCAGGGTTGCTAGAAGGTGCAGTCATTGGCCAACTGCACCAGGCATGCTGGGTTACAGTGACTACTGCATCCTGCTGTCAGCACTCAGGGACCCCTCAGTTCCACTGGACCTGGGAGGGACTGGAGGGGGATGGGAGGATGTGAGGATATACTTTAATATGTGTATATATAAGTATTTACTTATTGTATCTTTATGTGTGTGTATATATGTATATATTTTACATATTTATCTTATCTTTATATGTGTGTATATATTTTATGTGTGTATATACATACATGCTTATGAACTTTATACTTCCATGTGTATATTGATACTTAACTTGAGAGTAGAGCTTCTACTTATCATCTTTATTTTTTTGAATACTGTTTCTTCCATATTTATAACTCTGGTTTGGAAGCATAGAGGGAATAATTTAATTTTCCTGCCTCATAAATGCTCATTTCTTTTGTCTCATAATACATACCAGTCAAAGAATAAAATTGCAATACTTCCACAGTATGATTACTGGAAGCATTCTGGGGTTTTATTGTTTGTATTGTTATTTTTGGTTTTGGTTTTTAGCATATGCTCTCCAATTTCTTTCTTTCTTTTTTATTTTTTGCATTTTCTTTTTTTATTGCCAGTGTTTTTTAAAATTGATTTAAAAAATAAATGACAGCAGAATGCATTAAAATTCTTATGACACATATACAGCACATTTTTCATATCTCTGGTTGTATATAAAGTATGTTGACACCAATTCGTGTCTTCATACATGTACTTTGGATAATGATGTCTATCACATTCCAACATCCTTGCTAGTTCCCTCACCCTTCTTTTCCCTCCCACCCCTCTGCTCTATCTATATTTCATCTATTCCTCCCATGTTTCCCATCCCTACCCCTCTATCAGTTAGCCTCCTTATATCAGAGAAAATATTCAGCATTTGTTGTTTGGGGATTTGCTAACTTCACTTATCATTATGTTCTCCAACGCCATCCATTTACCTGCAAATGACATGATTTTATTCTCTTTTATTGCTGAGTAAAATTCCATTGTGTATACATGACACATTTCTTTTATCCATTCATCCACTGAAGAACATCTAGATTGGCTCCATAGTTCAGCTATTGTGAATTGTGCTGCTATAAACATTGTTGTGGCTGTGTCTCTATTATATGTTGTTTTTAAGTTCTTTGAGTATAGACCGAGAAGAGGGATAGCTGGGTCAAATGGTGGTTCCATTCCCAGATTTCTAAGGAATATCCATACTGCTTTCCATATTGGCTGCACGAATTTGCAGTCCCACCAGAAATATATGAATGTACCTTTTTCCCCACAGCCTCACCAACACTGTTGTTGTTTGTCTTCTAATAGCTACCATTCGGACTGGAGTGAGATGATATCTTAGAGTAGATTTGATTTGCATTTCTCTAATTGCTAAAGATGATGAGAATTTTTCAAATATTTGTTGATTGATTCTATATCCACTTCTAGAAGTCTTTTCAGGTCTTTGGCCCATTTGTTGATTGGGTTCTTTATTTTTTGATGCTTTTTGAGTTCTTTATATACCCCCGACATTAGTGCTCTATCTGATGTGTGAGGGGGTAAAAATTTGGTCTCAGTATGTAGGTTCTCTGTTCACCTAACAGATTGTTTCTTTTGCTGAGAAGAAAATTTGTAGTTTGATTTCATCCAATTTATTGATTCCTGGTTTTAATTTTTATGCTATAGGAATCTTATTAAGGAAGTTGGGGCCTCATACCACCTGATGAAGGTTAGGGCCTTCTTTTTCTTCTATTAGACACAGAGTCTCTGGTTTAATTTCTAGGTTCTTCATCCACTTTGAGTTGACTTTTGTGCAAGGTGATAGATAGGGATTTAATTTCATTTTGTTGCATATGGATTTCCAGTTTTTCTAGCACCATTTGTTGCTGTCTTTTCTCCACTTCATGTTTTTGGCACCCTTGTAATATAAAATAATTATAATTTGGGGGGTTAGTCTCTATGTCCTCTATTCTGTATCATTGGTCTACCAGTCTGTTTTGGTGCTGATACCATGATGTTTTTGTTACTATTGCTCTGTAGTATAGTTTAATATCTGGTATAGTGATGTTTCACTTTTCTTGCTAAGGATTTCTTTAGCTATTTTGGGTCTCTTATTTTTCCAGATTAATTTCATGATTGCTTTTTCTGTTTCTATGAGGAATGCCATTGGGATTTTTATTGGAACTGCATTGAATCTGTATAGTGCTTTTGGTAGTATAGTCATTTTGATAATATTAATTCTGCCTATCCAAGAGCAAGGTAGGGCTTTCCATTTTCTAAGGTCTTCTTTTATTTCTTTCTTTAGGGGTCTGTAGTTTTCATTGTATAGATCTTTCACCTCTTTTGTTGTTTAGTTGATTCCCAAGTATCTTATTTTTTTGAAGTTATTGTAAATTGGGTAGTTTCCTCATTTCTTTCTCAGAGGATTTTTCACTGTTATACAGAAATGCCTTTGATTTATGAGTGTTGGTTTTATATCCTGCTACTTAGCTGAATTCATTTAGTATTTCTAGAAGTTTTCTGGTGTATTTTTTTGGGTCTTCTATGTATAGAATTATATCATGAACAAATAGTGCCAGTTTGAGTTGTTCTTTTCCTGTGTGTATCCTTTTAATTCTTTCATCTGTGTAATTACTCTGGCCAGTGTTCCAAGAACTATGTTGAACAGAAGTAATGAAAGACGGTATACATGTCTTGTTCCAGTTTTTAGAGAGAATGCTTTTAATTTTTCTGTATTTAAAATGATGTTGGCCTGAGGCTTAGCATAGATAGCTTTTACGATGTCGAGATATGTTCCTGTTATTCCTAGTTTGCCTAGTGTTTTGAACATGTAAAGGTGCTGTATTTTGTCAGATGCTTTTTCTGCATCTATTGAGGTGATCATATGATTCTTAGCTTTGAGTCTATTGATGTGATGAATTACATTTATTGATTTGTGTATGTTGAATCAGCCTTTCTTCCATGGGCTGCATCCCATTTGATCATGGTGCACAAACTTTTCGATATGTTTTTGTTTTCAATTTGCCAGAATTTTATTTAAAATTTTTGCATCTATGTTCATTAGAGATATTGGTCTGAAGTTTTCTTTCTTTAATGTGTCTTTGCCTGGTTTTGGGATCAGGGTGATATTGGCTTCATAGAATGAGTTTGGAAGTTGCTGCCTCTTTTTCTATTTCCTCAAATAAATTGAGTATTGATGAATTCTTCTTTAAAGGTCTTTTAGAAATTGGCTGAGTATATATCTGATCCTAGGCTTTTCTTGACTGGTAAGCTTCTGATAGTGTGTTCTATTTCATCACTTGATATTGGTCTGTTTAAGTTTTGTGTGTCTTCCTGATTCAATCTGGGCAAATTGTATGACTGAAGAAATTTTTCCAAGCCTTCAATGTCTTCTATTTTATTGGAGTATAAGTTTTCAAAATAATTTCTAATTATCCTCAGTATTTCTGTAGTGTCTGTTGTGATATTACCTTTTTCATCATGTGTGCTAGTAATTTGACTTTTCTCTCTTCTTCTCTTTATTAGCATAGCTAAGGGACTTTCAATTTTATTTATTTTTTTAAAAAAACTAACTTTCTGTCAATTTTTCAATTGCTTCTTTTGTTTTGATTTCATTGATTTCAGCTCTAATTTTAATTATTTCTTGCCTTCTATTGCTTTTGCTGCTGATTTTTTCTTCTTTTTCTAAGGCTTTAGATGTAGTGTCAGGTAATTTATTTGTTGACTTTTTTTAAGGAATTAAGTTCATGCAATTAATTTTCCTCTTAGTATTGCTTTCATAGTGTCCAAAAGATTTTGATACGTTTTGTCTTTGTTCTCATTTACCCCTAAGAATTTTGTAATCTCTTTCTTGATGTGTTCTGTAACCCATTGTTCTTTAAGTAGCATATTGTTTAGTCTCCAAGTGATAATGAAAATTTTATTTTTTATTTTGTAATTTATTTCCAATTTCACTCTATTATGATCTGATAAAATGCATGGTAGTATCTCTACTATTTGTATTTGCTAAGAGTTGGTTTGTGGCATATTATATGATCTATTTTAGAGAAGGATCTATGTGCTGCTGAGAAAAAAGTGTATCCCCTTGATGCAGGTTGAAATATTCTATATATGTCAGTTAAGTCTAAGTTATTGATTTTATTATTGAGTTCTATAGTTTTTATTCAACTTTTGTTTTGAAGATCTGTCTAGTGGTGAGAGAGGTCTTTTAAAATCACCCAAGATTATTGTGCTGTGGTCAAGTTGACTCTTGAACTTGAGAATAATTTGTTTGATAAGCATAGCTGCACCATTGTTTGGGGCATATAATATACATTTATGATTGTTATGTCTTATTAGTGTATGGTTCCCTTGAGCAGTATGTAATGTCCACCTTTATCCCTTTTGATTAACTTTCAGTTGAAGTCTACTTTATTTGATATGAGGATGGAAACCCCTGCTTGCTTCGGCAGTCGATGTGCATATTATGATTTTCCCTATCCTTTCACCTTCAGTCTGTGTATGTCTTTTCTTATCAGATGAGTCTTCTGTAGGGAGAATATTGTTGGATCTTTTTTTTTTTTAATCCAGTCTTCTAGCCTAAGTCTTTTAATTGGTGAGTTTAAGCCGTTAACATTTAGGATCATTATTGAGACATGGTTTGTATTGCCAGCTATATTTGTTTATTTTTATTTAACACATTTGTAGTTTCAGGTAAACAGAAATTCAAACTTGATTTGCCTTAATTCAATAGATCGTGATTAGCTTATAATTCACTACCAGAGGCATTTTGGGATCTTAGGAATGTCGAATAAGCTGTGAAAGCACAGTTTCCCAAAT